AGCATCAAAGAAGTGAAAAAATTACTTAACTTTATGCAGACGTGATCAAATTTTTCCTATTTTTTCCCATAGAATATATACACACAAATTTTAGTCGTTGTATCTGTTGCAGGTTATAAGCACCAAGCAAAAAACGAAATTTTCAATACGAACCTGCGTGCAAGAACTTACAAATACCTCAGCCGAATTTGAAGACGATAGGTTCATTTTTTCGATTAGGAGACTACTTATCACAGACATAGAAAGAAGCAGACAGAAGAACAGGCCGACATGCTTAAATCGGCTTAGAATTTGATGCTAATCAAAAATATAGATTCTCTGGAGCTTTCTGGTGTTTATGTGTACTGCTGTGTAACAGCTAATATCTGCAGTAATTCTCTCTATCTAATTATGCAACTATCGACATAATAATTTTTAGGGCTACTTTTAAGTGCTACTTGAAGAGAATCGAAGGTTGTCGGAACGGCCGCACAACATGTCATTGCAGAAGTGGCTTGTTCAAGAGATGTGGGGAGCTTTAAGTTTTTGTCCCACTCCACTCCAGGCGCTTATATCTAAAATAACTACAAGCACCCTTGCAGGGAGAAACAAGGGACAACAAACGTACGGACGAAGCATAATTACCGAACGGGCTATTCTGCATGCTACCCTACCTATGGTCTCCTTCGGCCCGCGATGTTTAATGGGAGAGAAACGATGCAAACATCTTGACAAAACGAATGCATTATCCTCATCCTTCGGTGATGGCAATAAAAATTGACAACGCATTGAGTAAACCGTTTTAAATCGGGCTGATGTTCCCTTTAGTTTCTTTCGGTGTAAATTATCATAAATTCAATATCAAATCCAAACTAATAATAGACATACAATAATTAATTGGGGCACTTTCTCGATAATTGGTTTGGCTAGTTTGACGAATATAGGTTAACTCCTTCATCGGGAATCTCTTGTTAGCATCTCGTTACTAATAGTAGTATCTTAAAGTCTAGTAGCCGCCACATACGCTGTTACGTCAAGCTTTAGAATGGAACAATTTTCAAAAAGAGCAGGAAAGCTCGTCCGGGTCCCGTGGTAGCTGGTTGTGAGCAGAGCAAGGGTTTTAAGTTTAATATCACGCGCTCATGTACTTTGGCAAGCCGAGCAGTGATTTGGGAGAGAAAGAATCAATCGTACACTGAAAGAGGCATTTACAGCTCAAGAATGCGTTACTGTAAGGTCGAGAACCGCAGCAGCAATTTCCCCCTCATCTCAGGCTCAATAATGATTCCAGGGACATCATTGCGTAAGTGTTTTCTTTCGTAAAATAAGCTAAAAAAAAGGATGCTCGTTGTGTTTTATGTGAGTAAATCTTTTTTCAAAGAGATAATTACGAACAGGACAGTGAGCTGTTGCACAGGATCGAATGTCGTTCCAGTCGACAGTTGTTATGAATACAAATACCGAATGTGAAAATAAAAAATATATAAAAATAGCTAGCGGCGGCTGAATCAATTAATTTCAATAAATAATAAGCGCAACAGAGGGACATATGTAAGCCGATTCCAAACCTAAGTATATTCGTATGGGAAACGAGTGGAAAAACTAACATAGCTTGCCCGGGTATGGTACGAAATAAGGGAGCGAAAGAAGATATTTGACTTTTAATTCAACTTTTCAATGTTTTCTTTTTTTCAAATGCATAGAGAAAAATCTGAACTGTTTATAACTACTACTATGCACACAACACTTGACCCATAACATTCAATCTGAAATGAATTTTATGCTTGATTTGAAAATCGATACCAACCAGCAGCAGAGTTCGACAAGAAGAAAATCACTATGCAGAAAAGGGGTAAAAATTAATTATGTACATAAGTATATGAAAAGAAAAAAAAAAAAAAAAAACAATGTTTTATGCCCTACACACACAAGCGCAAACAAACAAAACGCATAACGATCTTAAAGTCACCCCTTTAATGAAAAAGGAAAATAATAATAATAATTATAATAATAATAATAATAAAATAACGCCTGAAGATAGACAACGGGAAAGTGAAGAGAAACTGTATGAAAATCTGTAGAGGACGAAGTGCGTAGATGCGGCGTCATATGCATGCGTTAAATAATTGTTTTCTGTTTTTTTTTCTTGCTATTTACATAAAATTATAAATTTACAACAACTATTTATGTATGCGTATGCAAATACAACCCTGGCAATGTCAGAGTGTATAAAAGTAAAAATTCTTATAGCAATTCTTCTTTTATGCAATACCTATAGAATATGACTACTGACTTTGACGGCGTAATCTTTTTATACCTCACGGACCTTTTTGTCTCACTAAACTGTCGTCGTTTAGGTCGTCTGTCTCTGAGTATCACTCAAAGCAAGACTACTGCTGTTGCTGTTGCTGTTTTTGTTATATTTATCGCGTTGTTCTTATTACATTTTGCATTAAAAAGTTTCCCTAGTAGTAAAAGCCTGAAAGTGGGCATACAACGTCACAGCAGTGTATGTGCGTAGGAGAGATTCATTTGCACTTAAGCAATACACCAGCAATAAGTAGTGCTACACAATGTGTGCTTTAAACGGCACGATTTAAACAGCAGTCATCAGTCAACTGTCTCAGTGTTAGTCAGTCAGGTAGTCAGAAGAGTGAGCATAAAGTCTACCTTTTACTGTGAATAGGCCTATGTAGTACGAGTTGTAGTGCAAGAGTGAAATATTTTAAGGAAGAGAGCACGTTTTACTAATTAAACCGTTTTAACTGAGTAACAACAGCAACAACTTAATTAACATCATTTAAAATTAGATTTTTTTTTTTTTTTTTTTTGTTGATAGTCTTTAACTAATTTCTAACCTTCAAGTCGCACACAAAAAAGAAATGAGAACACGCAATATAAGTGAGCGAGAGACAGTAGTTCGGAAAACATAGCAAGTGAGTGTACTTGAATTACTACAAGGTAGTGTTCCCCCATAGTAGACATCATATGATAGCGATGATAATTATTTAATCACAAAAATATGAAATGCTTAATGTGACGCAAGAGATTCCCTTTTACTCGTCTTCTTCTTCTTCTTCTTTACAATATATATAATTTCCATGAAATTTTCCGATCAACTTTTTTACCATTTTGCGGATTTGTTTTTAAATTTTATAAGAGAATCGATTTTTCCACTCGAACGTTTAGAGAGCAACCAAAGCAAGGCGAAAAGCAATTGTTATTAAAGTCTGTGCTTATCTGTCTGTGTGTATTTTTGTTGATAGATATCATTAGTAAGAGAGCATCGAAAATTTGTATTAAATGCATCGCATTAACAACGACGGTCAGACATTTACACTAGCAAAGCGATGATAAATCGCTTAAGCAGAACCATAAGTAACGGATATATAGTCCTTTTACGATTATCAAGCAGAGTGAACTTAGTATGTGCACGTAACTAACTTTCTGACAAAATTAGAATGATAAGAAATTACGAAGGAAACGCTATAGTCTGGGGACAATTATTCCAAAAGAAGGCAACCAACAGATCAGAGCAATCAACAGCTTAGGGAACTTTCTGCGTAAATCGAAGTTCACAGTGGCCGGAATTGAATGCAAGTGCGTAAATGTGGAGTGTATTGAAATAGCTCGCTAGACATTGAGATATTGCAGCAGCCATATCGAAATAAGTAAAAAGTTTCCGTCTTTTAAGTTAAGCAAGCGGAAAAAGATCGCAAAAGCTTCCCTTGTCTGTCCATTGATATATTCCCTTTTATATGTGGTGTTCTCGGAAAATATATCGATTTGGGATTGATATCCGTTTATGAAAGTCTGGCAAAATTTAACTTCTTTTCAAACCTAAAATAGTCGGCTTTTACGAGAAGACTAGTTTCTTGCCTACTCTTGCGTGATTGGTTAACAAAATTCCAAGCTTCAATTTCCAAAGCAAAAAGAGGCGACATTTTTTTGGGGTTTAGAGAAATCCTTTGATGTGACGAAGCGACGAGTGCTTAAAATTTGTTTGCGCTCACAACTCAACTACTTTCCATTTTCAAGGCGTAATCCTCTGGCCTCCTCCCAAAAAAAAAAAAAAAAAAAAATCAATTCACCGTAAGAAATTCTTGCGCTTTTAGCCAGGACGTGACAAAAAAAAAAACTTGCACAACTTTCACAGAACTGTCCACCAGTTGAACCTCGTAGGCTCTTGATGATAAGTATAAGTCTAACCTAGCCGAGCTAGCCTTTCTGGTGCATGCCACAAATATTAAAAACTCTGGAAATTCTAGATCAGTTTTTTTTTGAAGGACGGAGAGAAGGAGAGAGAGAGGGAAAGAAAGAGAGCGACAGAGAGGGAGAGAAGGACAACAACGAGATTTCCTTGACTATCGAAATAAACTTATCCGAAACAGGTTTTTTCATTTCTAATCTTATGAATTCCAAAAACAGGGAGCTCCTTTCCGTCCAAGAATATCTCTGACCAACTTTCATACACCGACTGTATAGCATTGCGTTAAAAATGGAAAAGTCATGTGCTTTTCGTTGAAGTAATTATTGTTTATTTAATTTCTTGATTTTTTTTTTTTTTTTTTTTGTGGCAGTGCAATGACAAACTTAATCTATCTCTCTTAGAGTAATGTTTATATAAAAACCATGCAAACACTTGTGTACACATACGATTGCAGTTTGCCTACATGTTTACTTTTCAATATATGCAGCAGCACACACAATCAACCCTGTTTACAATTAAAATGGAATTACACTCAGGCAATTGAAGCATAACGAAAACAATTGCACTAACAAAACAGGCAAAAACGCATGTATATATATATATATAGTCGTGCGCTCTTAACCCTTCAACTATACGAACGCACCGACGACTAAACAAACTTTTACCCCTACCTCTTTGTCTTCTTCCTCGTCTGTTCTCAACGTAATTTGAATGAAATTGTATAATCGCTTTAATTAAGAGCAGGAGGACACAAAATGAAAATAAAAAAAAAAATAAAAAAAAAAACAAAAAAAAATGAAAAGTAACTTACCCGGACATGCATGTGTGCATCACCTTCGCCCGGCTGCTGGACACCGGTACGTATCTTTTTATTTTGCGGCCCATCGCTAACAATAACACTACCGCCGCCTCCGCCAGCACCGGCACCACCATTCGTAGCGCCGTTATATTGCATTGCGGTCGCCGTAGTGAAATTTAAATCGGTTATTGTCTGTTGGTGAATTATTTTGGCGGCTTTTTATTAAACTGGGGGGCTAAAGCGAAATATATAAATGAAACTTTGCTAACGTTAAGCAAAGTTTTTCAAAAAAAAAAAAAAAAAAAGAAGAAGAGAGTTATTGTGTTTCTCGTTTGCTTTTTCGCACAAATACAGAACGCGACGTTATCACCGTACCGCAGGCAAATGACGCGACGCGAGAGGTCTTACCGTCTAGTGTTTATTCCACAAGTAATATGAGATTTATTCACGTTTTCATTTAAAGCGGTGGTTTTTTTTATTTTCTTTTTTCTTTTGTTTTCTGCTCTGCCTCTTCTTTGCTTTTGCTTTGGCTGTTGAACAGAATTCTATTTGCACTGTTTATATAACTTTGTTTATAGCTCAGCTCACGTTGTTGATTTTCTTTTTCTTTTTTTTTTCTTTTTGTAATATTGTGTTCTATAAGTTTATTTATTTATTTAGTATATATATATATATATATATAGAAATATATATACTAACTTTTTTCTTTTTTTTTTCCTTTTTCAATTCACAAAATTATTTCTCAAGCAAAATTTTGTTTACAATAATTTATGCTGAGTTTAGCTTTTTTTTGTTGCTCTTTAGAGTTTCCTTTCATACATATACTGCTGTTGCTGTTGCTATTGCGAAATTTCATTAGTTTTCTTTTTTGCTCTCTCCAATGCTTTATATATGTCAAAATCAGCTGTTTATTTATTCATCCCACAGACAATCCAGACAAAACATGTAAAGAAAAATTAGAAAAAAAAAAAAAACAAAATTAATTTAATTAATTTACTAAAATATATGCATTTATTTTACGTGACTCTACAAATAACCAAATTATTCTCTCTCTCTCTCTCTCTCTCTTTCCGTTTTTTTTTTTTGCTTCTCCATAAACTTGATATTTCGTGTCGCTTTGTATATATGCGTATATGTAATTCTTATCAGGCCCTTGACATAAGGTGTTTTCGCTCTCTGTTTAGTTCCTTGCACTCTTATCTTTTTCTTTTTTTTTTTTTGTTTGTTGGTTATTTGCGTGTATATTCATTCCCTTTATATCATAACGAGACAATCGAACAAGCACACAAATAAGTAATGAAATGGAAAATCCACCACAATTATATACGTGCGTATGCCTTCCTTTGCATGTATTATAAATTTTTGTTTCTTTTTTGTAGGAAACGAACGAATTATTCTCAGCAGGTTGTAGAAAGTTATACCACCATGCGACGTTAATGTTGTGTGAGTGTGCGTGTTGCGCTGTGTGTATAGATGTGTTTACAATATATTACCTGAACTTCTGACTAGAATTATGCATAAGCATATGTGTGTGTGTGTTTCGTGTTTTCTTTAATAATATTTTAACAGATTTCACGCATTCGTATACATATGTGTGTGCGGGCGGGCGGGCGCTTGTGTGTGTATGTGTGTACGTTACTACTTTTTGACGGTTCAAAACGGCAAATGAAAGATTTTGTGGATTGCGTTTCTCTATTAAAAAATATGTAATGACGAGTATACCACAGAAGAGAGAAAGTTGGAAAGAGTTGCCAAACTTTTTTTTATTATTTAAATAAGGGTTTTTTTGTTTTTTTATTAATTCTTTGCAAAAAGTTGAAATAAAATCTACTTAGCGGTCATTAAGCAAAGAAAGGAAAGTAAGTGAATCCAACGTAACTCTTTCTTTCTCTCTCTTACTCCAACTAGAATAATTTTTTAATCATTTAGAAAAAATGTGTTGAGTAATCAGAATTAGAACCAAAACCGGTTTTGGGAAAATATTCGCAAAACATTAGGATAAAATCACAAATTTCATGATGCAACACGCATCCCATTACATGGCTTTTAAAATTGGCCAAGTAGTTATGGGTAAGGACTTCACGAGTGTCGATTTGCCGATTTTGCTTCAATACAAATCTGAATAAATATTGCGTTTCAACGCCACAGTTATATAGAAAAGCTTCTATCTCGAAGAAGAGACGCGGAATAACCCTCGAACCCTGTAAAAATCGTGTTTATTTGACTGACAGCAGCCTTCTGACTCAAAGCAACTTCCTAACTCACTACTCTGAATAAGTAATAAAATGATGAAATCATTTCGAAACCATGCAACGATTATCTAAGTCGTAAGTTTCTCAAAATTATACTTGTGTGTTTTTGGCGTCTTCTCACTCACGGCTCGTTATTAGACTAATCAGAAATCTTGAAGAAAATGCCATATAAAAAGGAAGAATTGTCTTGTCTTAGGATCCATTTCATTGTGCAGATTAAACAGAGAAACCTACCTAAGGAGCAGAGTGCAATAAAGATAAGGATCTATTTCAGTGCGCAGATTGAGTAAAAAAATCTACCTTTCGAGCAAAGTGAAGTAAAGAGGTAAAGATCTATTTTATTGGTCTCTGAAAAGTAGCGGCAATAGCTAGCTAGGATGCAATGAACTTAGTATTCGCTCTTTTATCCGCTTATTAAAAATTGATTGATTCTGACGACTTTGTTGTTTAGAGAAAAATAAATAGAATTCTTTTCCTTATTTTTTTGTGGACTATATTTACCATGGGAACCATTTTTAATCTGATGTATATGGAATTACTTTTACTCCGCATAGTCTATCGTGTTTATGGCGGCAGGAGGGATTACATTTGCGTATAAATTTCGTTTCCATCACTCATGTACATATTCCTACCTATAGAAATTTATCGACCTTTCTTAAAACGTAATAGTCCTTCTCCTCCTTGAAATCTCATATCTAACTATTCTTGCAAAAATAATTGTTTTGCTGGGTAAAAATAATTGTTGAGAGCAAATGTATTTCATTGTATCTTCCTTCATATATAAGACCGTAAAGATCTCAATCACAAACATCGGCTAGAAAAGACTAATTGAAGATCTCAGGTATGATTATATACATTCCTTATAGGATATATCTAGTGGACTGAATGAAAATCGCAGATTTTTGAAGGACATATGCCAAAATCACACAGAAGCTTACTAATCATAGACTGGAGAAGTGTTGTATTATCCCTTCTTACAGTTATTTAGCTATTCGTAAAGCTTGTGGGCTCTTGTCTTCCCGGTTCTTAAATCCTTACACTTGAATGAAGTTGAACTTTCCCATCGAAATTTTCTGGACTGTAAAAGATTTCATAAAACGAGACACAAGGGCCCCATAACGATGCCTAAGAAACCTTAGTATAAGCTCTTAAGATTAATTAATCTGTTACTCCTCCTTAGGAAAGTGTGCAAAAAAAACCTTTGCATGTCCAAATTAGTTTAGGGACTAGTTCTTTTAGTTAAGGGAAGATATGGTAAATTATTTCAGAAATACTTCAGAAATTAAATACGGAAGGTCCTTCTTTGTTTTGATTAACGAAACAGTTATTAAATATTTATTTTCTAAGTTTTACCCCATAAAAAGTATGCAAATTTTGAAGCCTCTTGTATGATCTATTAGTTTCCCTATTTAAGAAGAAGCTTGTTAGACATTTCTAAACTTGTCTTCTGTATATTTCTTTACACTTAGTCTTAATCTGGCCTATCACAGCCAACTTGCTTTGTTTCGAGTTTATTACTCACTTTACCGGGGGGGGATTGCAATTTCTGCCAACAGATATTAGATTAGAGCAAATATCTTAAAATAGGTCTTGAACTCTCAGCAAGCATAAAAACGTCTCATTGACTTCCCCGAAGGAATGTATGAGAAATAATGCAGATCGACGTTCTTCGAAGCTGAAGGTATACCTTACATTTGCTGCGAGAGAATAAATGGCAAACAGTACAGATCCAAATTCTTCGAAGGCGAAGGTATAATTTATGTATGGTGGAGGTCCATATTCTTCGACGCAGCAGGTATAACTTATATCTACTGGACTTTACCGAAGGAATAAACGACACACAATGCATACTCACATTTGTCGAAGGCGATGGTATAGCTTATATCTATCGGACCCTACCGAAGGAATAAATGACAAAGAGTACAGATCCATATTTTTGGAAGGCGAAGATAACATTTGCATTTTGTACGAATTATATAAAATTCGAAATCAAAATTTTATTTGTATTAGAAAACACAGCTTACTCTTGAAGCGAAGTATTGTAAAATCTGGCAACATTTGCATGTAAGAATATTTAGCAAAAGAAAACTTGTAAAAAATCCAAAATGTCTGGTAATGACAAAGAAAAATGACAAAGCCACCCTCAATTTTTGTACACGAATTAGACAATTTTCACATAGAAAACAATGAAAGAAAGCCCAAAACATAAAAATGAAATGAAGTAAGAAAAAACCGAATAAGAATATCAAAGACTTTCTTTAAAATAATGTTAGAAAGCGATAAGCGACGGTAATAAAAAGAAAGAATTCTTGTTAGCATAAATCCAAGCAAACATTTACTTGGGCAACAACCCTTAAGAATCATACACGCAAGCACACACACACACACACATACACACATGCAAACGTTTATATAGAAAGAAAAAAGGAAGAATTGAATTGAAAAAAATCCATTCTTACCAGAACGAATATTCGTTCATGAAACTTTTTCTTATTTTTTTTTTTTTTTGTAATTTTTTTTTTTTCGATTCTAAGCAACTTACTTATACACACTTATGCACAAACACAACAATTGTAAATTTTCGTGCGAGGAACTTTTCATAAAATTATTTCAAGATTTCTTTTTTTTTTTTGCTTTTTCACTTTTCTTTTTCATAGATTTGCACGGACATGGACATGGTTTGGCTACGTCGACAAATAACTCGCTTTCTTGCCTTTTTTTTTTTTCTTGTTTGCTTCAATCAAAAATGAAATAAAACACGTTTTACGTGAGGATTATCGCCATTTACAACAAAATTGTATTGACTCTGTTCGTAAAACACACTTGTCTGATAATTTTTTCAATGCTAAGCTGATGCGAGAGATAACTTTTAACAAGTTTTCGATTCTAAAGTTTATCTATTTCAGTTTCAATTCAGTGGAGTGACTTTTACATATATATTTATATATACATATATATCTATATATAAACGTATACATGGATTATATATTAATAAGAGAATGAATAGATAAATTACTGAAATACACTTTTCTTGTTATTTTTTCTTTTCTTTTCTTTTCTATTTTTTTTTTTTTTTTTTTTGGATAACACTTGGATTTATTGCTGCCTTTTTTTATTGTTAATATGTCTTGCCCGCCGCTCTAAGTGTGGATGATGAGTTTTAGTTGACGCCGCACAAACGAATGTCAATTACGGCAAAAAGAAAACAAAGTTTAAGCGTCATTTGATTCTTGTTCGTCGTCGTTCACGTTAAAACGCAAGTCACACAAACCTAACCATACAGCACACAGCCAACAATTCACTTAGGTTTATAATATTTATTTTGATAGTGGGTGGTTGGGATTTTGAAAAGAAAATCCTCTCTTCGCTCTAAATGCTCTATATATATATATGTATATGTATATGTAAGTAACAAATAACTCTTTATTTTATACTTTTGGATTCTATTCAACTGTTATTCTCTCATGGATTTTATAAGCTATGAGTTAAGTTGAGTTATTCTATTCTATGGGTATCTTATTGGGTTGAAAATCTATAAACAATGATAAACAATATCCACATTATTGAATATGCGCTGAGCTTAGAAAACACTAAAACCTATCTTTCTCTCTCTCTCTCTATCTATCTAACTGAGAGAAGAAAAGTAAACAAATTGAAACACATGCTTAGGAAATTTTTGCTCATAGAGATGGAGGCAACTTATAAGAATATTTTCACAGAGAAGACGTAAGTCAAGTAAGAATACAAGAGAAATTACAAAAAGGAAAAAAAAACAACAAAAAAACAAAAAACATGACTTGCGATTGCATGTAATGAGATTGTTGTTGGGAGGGAGGGAGTTTGAAGGAGGTTGAGTGTATATAAATGGGAGCCTTACAGAATGTGTTGTAAAACGAAAAAAGAAATAGCTGAGGTTACTTCAATTGCAGCAGACCTGTTAGGCAACAATTTGTTGCCATCATCATGCTAACATACACACACACACACACAAACACACACATGAACATATGTATACATTAAAATTATTTTACAAACAAGTTTCTTGTGCTTGTTTGCGAAAATTAAAGTTTTTTTTTTTTCCCCCATAAATTTTCTTTTCAAACTTACAACAAAATTTACAATTACCTTGAATTTTATTAACAAAAGAAAATTTTTTTTGTACACTTTCACTAATGTTTTTTGCTACAGTAATTTCTCTATTTAAGGGATCTCTACTCTTTTTTTTTTTTTGTTTCCTACATATTTTAATTACGGAATTTTTAACACATATTTCGTTCTTTTCTTTCTTTACTTGAAATTTGTTGTTTTTTCTTTTTCTTGTAAGCTATCGTTAAACACGCGAAACGGAAATGCAAGCAAATCATTTAATTAATTTGAAAATTTACGAAAAGAATTCTCACACACACCTAGCCATCTGCGAAGCGTAGGTAATAATAATGCAGAAAATAATTGTATATCCAATTGGAGCTGTTATTATTCTTGTTGTTGTTGTTATTGTTGTTGTTGTTGTTCTTGATGTTGCTATTATTGTGGTTTTTGTAAACTTTCTTTTGTCTGTCGTTTAACAACAACACGCAGCAGCATATACATACGCAATCACGCACACAATCACAAAAGATATTACAAATAAGTTTTTCCACTTGAAGTTTGTATTGAATTCTTCTTCTCTTCTCGTCTCGCCGTATCCGTCGTTTCAATTTCTTCTTTTCTTTCCTTCTATCTTGTTTTAATTGCAATTGTATTAGTTGTTGTTGTTGCTTAATCCCTCGATTTCGTTGTTGTGTATTACAAATGATCTCTCTTTCTCTCTCTTGCCTTATATGTGTATTTACATACAAACACATACAGATTTATTTATATTTATTTCAGATACACTTTTTTTTGCTAACGTTTTCTATATATGTGTTTCTACAACTGCACTATTTACCCGATCTTTTACCTTTTCAATTCAAGTACAAAAAGAGTACTAATTTTATAAAATACAAAATGTGCAGATATTTCAGCAGCCAACGCTTGTCAGCGCAATAAAGATGCAGAGAGAGAAAGAGAGAGAGAGAGAGAGAGAGAGCCAGTGTGTTAGTTAGAGAGGTGGTAGAAAGAGAACGAGCGAAAAAGAAACTGCGTAAGCTATTTCTTTGAAAAACCAGCAGAGCTTGACAACGCTAACGTTCGCTCCAAAAGCTGCAAAGAGAGTTAAACTTAACAACTCTTAGATAGTTTATGTGCTGCGGAGATACTCTGTTGCGACGCTGCTGCTTGCGTACCTTTAATAGAAACATTCACTACAAATATTGAGGCATATTATAATCACAATTCTTTTTACACTCAGAGATATGAACGCGATACTGCATACAGGTTGCCATGTTTAAAGTGAAGTAAGCTGATAGAATTTTGATGTATGTTACGTTCTCTTCCTACGCTTGTTTCTTTCGTTCATTCTTTCATTCTTTGAAATTGGGAAAAGCTTATATATATCCTATATAATTAGTTTTAGCTATTAAGCTAGATGGAAAATGTGGCAATGTGGCGAAAGAATGGGAAACGAATTCGGAAATTGGAGCCTGAGATCGGAGAAAATGTCTCAACGAAGATAGTCACAGTTAGCTCTTTCCTTAGGGTTCCCTTTTTCGGTTTTGTGTATTTCTTCTTCTTCTACAAATGGAAAAGAGAAAACGAGAACCGACTATCAACATTACAAACTTCCCAGTTCATTATAAAAAACCGTCCCTCCAGCCGAAAGATTTTACGCAGAAAAATAATTTGCGCCAAAATGCGTCCGTTAGTTACATCGCAAAATACACATCTTAGTGAAGACAATTATTCCAACCAATTAGAACCATTCAAAATGTATTCAATCACTTCATATAGATTGTAATAATTTACAGAAAAATATTTCCCATTACGACATAAGCTAGCTATGGTAGCTAAAAGAAAAATTCGGTTCTAATCGAATACAATTCTGCAACGCTATCTCTCTCTCTCTCTCTCTCTCGCCAATTATTCATTTTGCAATGTTTGATAGAGACGTTACATCGTAAAAGAGTGTACGCAGAGAGGAGTTGTGAAGTATGAAAAAAGAGCGTAAGCTTTTACAATGTTCACGTTGTCTGAATTCGCCGTAACAGGTTTTGTATTTAAAATTTTTTACATTTTTGCAGCAAAAGCATGGTAATTAAAGTTGCCAAGCTTTATAAAATAACTTTTCCTTATTATTAAGTTCTCGATGCGTCTCGTTCATGTACATTGGAATCCAAAGTTCATCATAAAGGGACAAAAGAAGTCGCAAATGGAAGCAGAAAAATTTAGTCAGATAAGGATGAAGAACGAAAATAGGTTGATACGCTTCGTTTCTTTAGAATGACTTATGCTTGCGTATTGTATAAACTTAATCGTAGGCGAAATGGGAATATTTCTTAATTAAAACTTGAGATCTGCAAATCGTTTGCGTGAAGATGCACAGAATTGATCATTGGCTAATTTAAAGCCCCAAGAAGCTAAGCATAATCGCTTAAGGCATGAAAGAGGGTGAGCTTCTGCCCAGCATTTCGGCCAAAGCATTTATCTCATATGTCTCGTATTCTTTAGTTACTAATTTCGCTTATCTTCGAGTTGAAGTCAATATTTTACGTTATTCCGAAATTTTCTATTACGTTGTAAAACACCATTACGAGTACGTCTTACACAACTACAAATGTTGCATTGGCAACCCTCAAAAGCATATATACACTAACCATGCAACTACAGTGGGCGTATTAAGATATAACTACTTAGATATTTTCTCTTATAGGGAAACAACTTTAAATGAAAAAAAAAAAACATTGTTCAAAGTTATTATTAATTAAGAATTTAGTTCACTTATCATAAAATGTTATGCTAAAAACAGGAAACAATGTCAAAAAAATGAAGTTACAATAACATAATTCTCATAAATAGTGCTAAAATGTGCCATGCGCACTTACACGCAAACAAAGCGAACGGTAAATTTCCAAAAAAAAAAAAATATGAGTAAACTTACTCACGATTTTTCTTGCTCTCCCTGTCCTTCTCTCTCTCTCTCTCTCTCTCTCACTCACTAAAATCGGAACGAATATTGAATTGACAGCTTTAATTTATTTATATTATGCTCTGTTACCATTCTGTTCACAAACATCATACATACATTTACACGACCAGCATACCTTTTAAATCCCGTAAGAAATTTAGATACCCAAAAAAACAACGCAATCCAATCAGAACTAAACAAAAACAAAATGAAATCAAAGCTGCGCATATGAGCTCTTTTAGCTTTTCTCTTCTCTGTCCCTGTCGTTCTCTCTCTCTTGTTGTCTTTGATTTTTGTTTTTTTTTGTTTTTACAATTTGCTTACAGCAAGTAAAAACACAAATGCATTTTTATCAATTTTGTTGATAAAATATTGTACGATAAAATACAGGGTGACCATTGTCTTAGCAGAATGTAATAAAAATTTTAAGAGAGTGAACATGATTGAAAATGAAGAAAGTTTGTTTGTGTTCATAAACTGCAGCGAATTCAACTATGGCTAGCAGTGTATTGAAGAGAGTTGCTGAGTTTATTTGAAAAATTGCATTGCGTAGGTCTTTTTGTATTTAACTATTGTTGTTGCTTTTTATTGGTTTCTTCTAATTGTTATTCTGTTCAAATTTTCTTACTATGATACAATGCATTCTCCGGTAAATGCAAAGAGAATTTTTTAATTTGTTATTGTTACTACTGTCGCTTTTATTGCAATGTGGTCAGTGGTAAGTTTGTAAAAATTAAAGTCTTGTTAAAGGTTAGGATAGCAGCTTACCTATCTAAGTATCTGATTGGGAAAGTTGATGATTAAGATAATAATTATTAAAGAATTCATTTTTAAATGAAATAAATACTTATGCAATAATTTTTTGTTTTTTTTATTGTATAAACAATTACTTAGAATATGTATCGTATTCGCGTATCCGCATTGATGATCAGAAAGAGCGAGAAAAAGGAAATAAAGAATGAAATAGGGAGCGTGACGGCTGTAGGCTGATGAATACGTTCCCAATCGATAAGTCGTGTATCGATATCAACTGAGCGTTCACTCTAGCTACGAACAAAGTAAGCCCTGCCATCCTAGAGATCTGAATCCGCGAGCTCTTATCTACTCGGCTACTTATGCGGATTTAGTCATACATACTAGTTCCACTTAGTTTTAAAATTAAATGAAATTGTAACGCAGACAATTGGCAACAATATGCATTGAAGGCTTAAGTGTTACTGACGAGACACGTTGCCCTATATTTTTGATAGACATTACAAGAAGAAGGCAAACGATATTCGACTGTGGCCCACACCATTACCTTAAAGAGGAAAAATCCTATTCAAAAATGAAAGTCACAAAAGTCTATTGTTATATTATAGGCGGATCTTTGGACCGATTTGTTTCATTTTCATTACCCATTTACCACAATTTAAAGCTGATATTTTCATTTTTGCGGCTGGGACTGGGACGATGTTAGCCATCCTCATTTCACTGACGATAAGCAGACGGGAGGATCAGCTTGTTTAGATCGATTCAGAATTTGATATTGATCAAGAATATGTATACTTTGTAATATCTCCCCATAATGGGCTGGTAAGTGCAAAAAGGTAGAGCGGCCGTATGTACATGAGCAGGCTCAGTTAGATTTAAGAAGTAGCTCGATAGTGACCGCTGATAAAAAAGATTCACTCTTCTGTCTACCCTCTTCTCTCTTCTCTCTCTAAACTATTTTACGATGTTGGAAGATGGATCTGGATCAAGAACGTTTTGTTAAATACTTAACAGACACTTTGTTCTTTGCTTTTATAACTTCTTGGCTGCTAATGGCGGTAAATAAGATGCAAAGTCCCTGGGTAAAATAACACATAGACCTTATAGTAATCCTTAAAAACCTATAGCAAACTTGGTTTAAGAAAATAATGGACTTTTTATTATCAATCTTGCTCCCATACTATGCATAAATTCCATTACATTGTCTCTCTTCTGTTATCGGCCTTTATGTTTCTATTAAATGCACATGTTATTCCTGACGGCAATATTCTCGCATCGATATGGTCGTCGGCCGTTGTTTTATGGCGCCTACGAGTGCATTTGTATTTCATGCTCTAACGGTTTCACAGGTTATGCTGTGAAAGTGCATACAAAAATACACACGCAATCGCACACAAGTCGTTACGTAGATGTGTGTTACTGGAAAACAAATATACACTTCGGAGCTAACATGAGGTGCACCTCCTTTGGCCTACTGTTCTTTTTCCTTTTTTTTTTTTTTTTTTTATTTGCTTTTTTACAACCCAAGTTTCATGTTGGTATGTGTGTGACAACAAGTGTTACATTTGATGGACATTCGAAACATTCTTTGTTCGTTACAATAAAATGGAAAATTTTCCTTTTGTTTTAAGCTGCTGTTATTATTATTGTTGTTGTTGTTGTTATTACACTTAACATGGCGTTAAATTGATTAGAAGAGAAAAGGAAGAAATTAAAAAGGAACGATGCTTTAAAGCAATTGAATATATATTGAAAAATCGACTATAGAAAATATATAGAATCTTAGCGATTTAACTAACGTAAGGAATCATATAAAAATTGAAACAAAATTAAATTTGCTAACTTATGAAGCCTCTATTTGATATAGGGGTAAAATGATTGGCAAAAGCGAACCCTTCTCGCTGTTTCTGGTAAGAATAGTTTACTAGACACACCTACTTTCTGTCGTATCATTTTTGCATATCTTATAATGCAATATATGCTAGTAAAAGAGCGGCACTGACACTGGAGCAAGACTCAATAGATAAAAAATATATTTACCTCGAAATTCATTTTATTATGGAGTTTTTTACTCCTAGTACAGATACACTCAACTTTGAGTTCAATTCTATGCATATATTATAGGTCTATAATAACATATTTTTATCCAATTTCATCATCAATTGTCCTTCTGTCCACGAAATGCCTGCAGTTGCTATATCCAATTCCACTCATTGCCATTCCTCTGTAATTGACCCAAAAAAATGTCAGATATTCCTTAAGTTATATTTTTGATTATCGTAACGTAGCGCGATGCACTTTCATAATAATAAAATGAAGAATTTTTCGAATTTTTTCAAAAGAAAATTGTTGAAGTTGGGGAATTTTCTTTCTTTTACTAATCGATAATTTTCAAAAACTTAATTGATTCCAGCAACAATGAAGGCGTAAAATTGAAATTGAATTTTTAAATAGAAAGTGATTCAGTTTAACAATTGTACGTCTTAGCTAAATTCATCGATCTTCCAAATAGAATTCGTAAGTCTCGCGCTTCAAGAAATCACTCAAGCGGCAACGGGCTTTCAAAAAAAAGCTCAACTTAATAAGACTAACAAATGGTGTTACAACTTCAATCAAGCACCAGCATCATGAGGTTAACGAAAATGGCTTAAATATTTCTTAGAGAAATTTTCTTTACCACACAAACTGCTTTAATTTGAAGTACATTTTCGCACG